CTGTGGGAGGCCGAGGTGGGCAGATCACCTGAGGTCAGGAGTTCGAGACCAGCCTGATCAACATGGAGAAACTCCGTCTCTACTAAAAATACAAAATTATCTGGGTGTGGTGGCACATGCCTGTAATCACAGCTACTTGGGAGGCCGAGGCAGAAGAATCACTTGAACCCAGGAGGTAGAGGTTGCGGTGAGCTGAGATTGTGCCATTACACTGCAGTCTGGGCAACAAGAGCAAAACTCTGTCTCACAAAAAAAAAAAAAAAAAAAAAAATTTCAGGGGAGTGAGGTGATTGGGGGAAATAAGTCTGTAAACGGCTTCTTAGGGAGTCAATAATGTAAGAAAAAGGTTGATAAACACTGATGTACTGCATGGGCAAAGAGGCAAGGGATTTATCAGCAATAGTTTTTATTTATATTTTTTGAAAGGAAACTCCAGAGAGTAAACAAATGTGCTGATGACAGACTATCTTAGAAACACTTCCCCAGGTCAAAGTGGTTCCTTCTGAGATTTTGCTACTGTGTACACACTGCTTGGTAAACTTTGCAACTTCACAGCATATCAGAAGGAACTAGACTGCATCCTCTTCCTGTCTCTTCCCTTGGAGTAGCATTTAGCTTTTCACTGGGGACCTGTTGTTAAAGGAAGATAAACTTTACCCTATACCAACCATTTTCTCCTTTTATCAAGAAAAATCAATTTGTATGATTCTTAAATGTATTTCCCTGGTATATATTCAAATTAAACTTGCAATTAGATTTATATCAGTGTTTACTCCAAATAGTCAAAGTATCTACAGGCTAAAAACAGTTCCTATTTAGAGCATTAAAATAGCATAAGCCTTAGTCACTTGTTCAGCTCTTTGGTTCTCATAACTATTTCTAACCCTGGTAGCGATAAGAATCCAACAAAACAAAACTCTTTGCAACAACATTTAAGTCTTGCTATATAGATATTTATATTTATGTGTACATATACATATATATTTTTAAATAGTGTATGTCGCTATGGTTGACTTTTAAAACTCTTAAAGGGGTAAAAGGAAATATTGAAGAAATCCTGGCTTAATTACACAAACTTTAAAAATTTTGGTTGGATAACAGTCTCTTTTCTTAAATCAGTGACTTTTGAAGCATTGTTTTTTACCCTTCAAATTCATTCATATTCATTTACTATTCAGTATGCTGAACTTCTGTTACTGGCCCAAAGGTACTAGACTTTCTTACCTCTAGACTTTGCACATGCTGATTGTTTTTGCTGGAACACTTTTACCTTCCTCTTTGTGTGATATTTATAAACCTTAAGCCTTTAATTGAAAGACATATCTTTAGAGAGCTCTCTTGATCCCTGCTACATGCTTTTATGGCACCCTGTACTACTCTTTTCTTATTTATCCAGTTTATTGTAAATACTTATTTGCCTGCTTCTACCTCTAAGATACAGCTCCCTGAGTGAAAACCATGTCTCTGTTGATTTCTATTATATCCTCAGCACCTGGCATATAGTAGATGCTTGGTGTTTTTCAATGGAAGAATGAGACACACACAGGTATCCTCATTATTCATAGATTTCATTAGGGAATCAACTTAACCTGATGTGTATTAGCCACAACTGTCTCCATGCTAACAAACATGGGAATTTGCCTTCTCACTTTATACTTTATATCTCCCAAATAAATACTTGGAGCATTTTTGTGATCATTTGTGGACATGGGCAGACTCGTGAAAAATTTCAACAGTCTGACATGCACATTGCCAACAGAAGTTGAAAAAGGCAACACTCCGCCGCCTTATATCAGTTCTCATACTATAAACAGGTTTCCTTTTTGCAGTATATTTAGTGTCATGTTTTTTGCATTTTTGTGCTTTCTGTTGGTGATCATGCCGTTTAAAATGGCCCCAAACAAAGTGCTGATGTGCTAAGTGTTCCTAAGCACAAAGGCTGTGATGTGGCTTGTGGAGAAAACGTGTGATAGGTAAACTTAATTCAGGCATAAGTTACAGTGCTGTTGGCTGTGAGGTCAGTGTTAGTGAATCTACAACCTATAGTAAATAAGATGTCTTTAAACAGAAACACACATAAGGCAAGATCATGTATTGGCTAATTGACTAAAATTTGACTAAAGGCTCACAGAACTTAACCCTGTATTTCCCTTAGGAGCAATAGTTCAATATTTGCTAACTCATTGTTCACAATAACTTCATAGACATAACTACCACAGATAGTAAGAGTTGATTATATGTGCAATTATAAAATTGTGCTCAAATATATATATAATGTTATTTAACTTGGTTTTTCCCCTACATAACTGTCTGTGTCATGCTCCTATTAAAAATAATGTGTCTTTATCTCATAATATAGATTGTATTACTAAGCAAGAAAAAAACTTACATGTTTGTTAGCATGGAGACAGTTGTGGCTAATATGCATCAGGTTAACTTGATTCCCTAATATATTGGTTACCTGAAATTGGTTACTGAGGGGATGAGTTTTTTTTTTTCTTAATTTATATTATCTCACTTGTTACAGTGAACAGATATTTCTTTTACAGATATTCTTGTAAAACATGATTTTTAATAGTTGCATTACATTTCCTTCTGTTGAAAGGAATAAAATTTTGATTAATTGTCACCTTAAATTCTTATGTTTCAGACAGTCAACGTCTGCAGTTGGATCTGCAGAAAATGGAGCTTCTAGAAAGTAAGATGACTGAAGAACAGCATTCTCTAAAAAGCAAAATTAAGCAAATGACAACTGATCTGGAGACATATAATGATTTGCCAGCTTTAAAATCATCAGGTGAAGAAAAGAAAAAGGTAAACGTTAACCAAGTCTTACAGAATTACAATTCAGATTGTTTTTTTCTTGATCAAATGTAATATATTTGTGGTATATTAGGATTTGTGGTATATTAGGATTTGTGGTATAATAGGATTTGTTATTTTAAGTTGATTATTTTATATGTATAAGCTGAGAAAAAATAAAAATGTTTACATATGTAGTTGGAATTTAGAGTGACTTAAAGTTTTAAAGAAAAGCAAAAATTGAAAAGCAAGGTATAAGCTGCTACTTAATACAGAGCATTTCAGCGAATATGAGCTTTGTTAAATGCAGATTAGATTATGACTCTATCCTACCTGAAACTTGTCAGTGGCTTTCCATTGCTATTTACATTAATTTAAACTTAATTTGGTAGGGTCGGGAGAGATAATGACAGCATTAATAGAATTATTAATACAGATAATGGTAACATAGCTTATAGTTCAAAGGATATTTTTACAAAGAGGTTTTAGAGTAGTTATAGCCTTGATACAATTTTACCAGAATATAGTTATTGAAATTAAGTTAAATATGCTTTATGCTGGCTTACTACATATTTTCTATAACCTGTCACTTCTATTTGGATCTTTCTAGAAATTACATCAGGAGAGAATGATCTTATCAACCCGCAGAAATACCTTTAAGAAAATAATGGAGAAGCTAAACATAGAACATGAGGCACTAAAAACACAATTGCAAGAAAATGAGACACATTCTCAGGTAAAAAATGTTTTAAATGACTTTGAAATTCTCTTAGTCTATATTTTCACCCCAAAAACAATCTTTTTTTATTTTAAAATTTGCTTTATATACCTTCTATATTTTCTGACTTTTAAGACAGCCAGATTCTGCACAGTCTTCATTCAGAATGAATGGATTCCTGCTTTCTTACCTTCTATAAACCTATATTGAAAGCCAACTCTGTTGGATACTGTCTTTGGCACAGCTATTAAGATATATGGGATAGTATCTTTTAAAAATCTTGAAAGTGAAACATTACTAATGCAGAAGCTAAAAATCCATAAAAATCACAAATAAAATAAATTCTAATGATTAGTACCCCATCACCCAGAAGAGAGAATGCTTATTGTTGCTGTAGTGTGGGTTCTTTTAGTCTATGGATAGATAGGTAGATAGAGAGACAGATAGATAGATAGATAGATATGTGTATACACATATTTATGCATATACTTAGGTACACATTTATTTCTAAGCATTTATAGAAATTGCACCATATTGTACATATCATTTAGGAGCTTGTTTTTCATGATTAACTGTACATCATAAGTACTTTCCCTTGTCAATATATATATTGACTTTTAAAAAATATTAATGGCTTAATGATATTCCAGTACATGGATGTAGCATAATATATTGAACCAATTCCCTTTCATTGGATATTTAGGTAATTTCTAGTTTTAAAACCATTGAAATAATGCTGTAAAGAGCAATCCAGGTATCCTTGAACTTCTTAATTCATATCTCCAATTATTTACATAGGATACATAGATATATAAACCTACAGCCCCCTTTTCATATCACTCATCTTGCTGATAACTACTTGAACAGTGTGTGAGGTCTAGATTGAGAGCTGAGACTGGACAGAGACAATGTCTATCTCGTTTATTCCTTGCACTGTGCTGTTGGTTGGCACATAGTAGGTGCTCAGCAATTATTTGTTGAATGATTGAATGAAGCATTATGTGTCATATACAAAGTCAACAACTATGGTCTGAAAAAGATTGATCATTCTCATATCTAATTAGTCTATGCTAGAAATTTGCACACGTGGTTTAAAATGCTAAATGCATTAAAAATTCGCTCTTTGGCCAGGCGCAGTGGCTCACGCCTGTAATCTTAGCACTTTAGGAGGCTGAGATGGGCGGATCACGAGGTCAGGAGATAGAGACCATCCTGGCTAACACGATGAAACCCCATCTCTACTAAAAATACAAAAAATTAGCCGAGAGTGGTGGCGGGCGCCTATAGTACCAGCTACTCTGGAGGCTGAGGCAGAGGAGTGACTTGAACCCGAGAGGCAGAAGTTGCAGTGAGCTGAGATCGCGCCACCGCACTCCAGACTGGGCGACAACGAGACTCTGTCTCAAAAAAAAAAAAAAATCCCCCTTTTTCTTCATATAGTTATGTGATCATGATAGAGAAAAATAAAAACAATGTCATTTGATTTTCCGCTACCTAGGTACAACCATTTTGTTAACATTTTAGTGCTCTATCCTTGTAGTCTTTTTGTCCTTACATACATCCATATTGTTTTTACAAAAAGTGAAATCATGCTATACAGTCTTTCAACATTTTCTTAACTTTTTTCAGCCTTTTTTTTTTTTTTTTTTTAAACAGAGTCTCACTCTGTTGCCCAGGGTGGAATGTGGTGACATAATTGTAACTCACTGCAACCTTGAGCTGCTGGACTCAACAGATCTTCCTGCCTCAGCCACCCAAGTAGCTAGGACTACAGGCACAGACCACCATGCCCAGCTAATTTTTATTATTTTTTATAGAGACAGGGTCTTGCTGTGTTGTCCTGGCTAGTCTTGAACTTGTGGCCTCAAGCAGTCCTCCTGCCTCAGCCTCCCAAAGTGCTGGGATTGCAGGCCTGAGCCACTGTGCTCAGCTTTTTTTATCTTTTTGAGATGGAGTTTTGCTCTTGTCACCCAGGCTGGAGTGCAATGGTGCAATCTTGGCTCACTGCAACCTCCGCCTCCTGGGTTCAAGCGATTTTCCTGCCTCAGCCTCCCAAGTAGCTGGGATTACAGGTGTCTGCCACCACGCCTGGCAATTTTTTTTGTATTTTTAGTAGAGACAGGGTTTCACTGTGTTGGCCAAGCTGGTCTCGAACTCCTGACCTCAGGTGATCTGCCTGCCTCGGCCTCCCAAAGTGCTGGGATTACAGGTGTGAGCCACCACACCCAGCCTTTGGTGACATTTCTATAGTATTAGCTATTTCATTGTATGGATGTACTATTTGAAAACAAAATATACCTTACATTCTTTTTGAAAAGGGTAGAATCTCATGAAAGCTTACTACAACTACTAAAAGGTTAGAAATCACTAGTTTACATAATTCAAATTTACCAGTTATTCTGTTCTACTTCATACACAAACCTAGATATAGACTTATCAGTGACAAAATTTTCTCAGGTTGTTTAGAGTGAGGATGAGTGCTGGGGAAGAAACAAGACAAAGTTTGTGAGGCCATTGTCTTCAGTGGTTCTTAGAAAAAAATACTGATACTTCTTATGGAATATTAGCCCTCCTCATTCACTGAATAGATGATTTAAGATGGAAAGCATTTGACAAACACCATTTCTTAGAGCCAGTGAGTGGTTACCTTGTGTATCTCTACATTAAGTGCTAATTGTATTCTTAACTCCATGTAGTGATAACTGGAAATCACAACATAAGCCACAATTTTGAATCCTTCTCTGTGTTATTTGTCATCTTTTGTGAATCCCAACTGATTAAATCATATCCTGATCTTCCTGTCTTTCACAACTATTTTCTTGAAAACTGGCTTTTGGCATCTATGAAGAATTTTATGTAACAGATTATTTAAATAAGTTAGGGAAAAACAGATTTTCAAAATGAATTTTTCTTTCTTGATATCCTTGGAGGTTTAAAGGAAAGTCAATAATATAGAGGTATAATGTAAAAGGAATTTGACCATCTGACATAGCATTGCTTTTATACCATTCCTGTAGCACTTAACAGGTCTGATGCATTATAAGAAGGCCACCTGTTTGTATTAAACAATGACAAAAAAGTCTGGTACTTGACTTTGCTGAAGGTTATTAGAGATTTACTGCCAGAAACTGCTGACTGCTTCCTTAAGTCCATCTTAACTTCAAGGTCCTGTCTGGGGGAGATTGATGTGATTTAGTAATACCAGCTCACAACACATACAGTTCACATAATTAATGAGCTATGATTCATTCTAATATCTAGATTTATCTCTTTGGAGGAAACAATGAGATGGATGCTACATCAAGGCTGAATTTGCGCCCTGAAAATTATTTTAACATGAGGGTAGAAGGAAACATTTCCACTGCTGCTTCAATTATTGTATTTTTAAACTAATCATTACTTCTTTGAAATGTCCAGACGGAACATTATTTTAGCATTTCAATTTTCAAATGGTCCTTTGCTTTGGAAAAAACTATGTGCATCTTAAAAAAGAAAGACCATAACCCAGAGTTACGAGGTTAATTAAATCAGAAAAACAATTTAATTCTATAACAGTAAAATTGTCTTCTGAGGAAGCAACCATCAATATAATATCCACATTAGCTTCCTGTTGATGCAGAAATTATTGTAACAGTGCCAGCTTTTTACCAGCTCTCTTATAATCTTCACACTGCAGCTCTGCTCTTATCACAGCTTGTGGAATTAGACAGGAAATTTAGCCCTGGAAATAAGGAAGTTTCTCCTATATGGCTGAACCTTTGACAGTGTTTGAATATATATTATATTTGTGGCATTAGACTTCCAGATTTCAAGAAGAGATTCCCATCGCGTCCCATTTTTCTTTTAAAAGTTTTTTTAGGGAAAGGAAAATCATAAATTGTCTTTTAGTTGGCATGCTCATTGGTATAATAAACATTTAAAATATTTTATAATTAAAATGAATATATAGGGTAAAACATGTTATAGAATTCATCACTGTATTAATGTATTTACTATTATTTAATCTTTTTTTCTACCATGGCTTTATCTCAATAAAATGCAAGTTGATAAGATTTAAAGTTGGAGTGATTTTTTTTTGTCTTATCCTCTTAGAAAGACATATAGTTGTTTTAAATATGGATACTAGTTAATATTTTTCTTTTATGTTTTTAGCTTACAAATTTGGAAAGAAAGTGGCAACACCATGAGCAAAATAATTTTGTGATGAAAGAATGTATCCTTTAAAAAGCTGAAAATGGGGCCGGGCACGGTGGCTCATGCTTATAATCCCAGCACTTTGGGAGGCCGGGGGGTGCGGGGTGGACCACAAGGTCAGGAGATCGAGACCACCCTAGCTAACACGGTGAAACCCCATCTCTACTAAAAATACAAAAAAATTAGCCGGGCGTGGTGGCAGGTGCCTGTAATCCCTGCTACTCGGGAGCTTGAGGCAGGAGAATGGCATGAACCTGGGAGGCGGAGCTTGCAGTGAGCCAAGATCATGCCACTGCACTCCAGCCTGGACAACAGAGCAAGACTCCATTTCAAAAAAAAAAAAAAGCTAAAAATGAAGTTGACTGAGTTAGTTATTTTTTTCTAGGAATTTTTTTAAAGATTCAAATTTAGTTCAACACATACTTATTAAATATCAAATATGTACAAAACACTGAGCTAAATTAAATGAATATGACTGTTTCAATTCTACAGTAGTTAAGAGGGGTGTGTGTGTGTGTGTGTGTGTGTGTGTGCGCCCTAAAGTAATAGCAGATTTTGGGAATTGCCAAAAAAGGAGTACAAAGACTTAATGTAGCATAGTGATTAAGTGCCCAGATTTTGGAGTCCGGAGATCCAATTTTAAATGTTAACTCTACTGCTTATAAGTTACAAACTTTGTACAATTTAATCTATTCAAGCCAGCACTGTATCATCTCTTAAGATTCAGTTTTTCAGGATCACAGGGCTTGGGTAAAGTTAAACATTATCAGTAAATCTTCTGATAAACATGGCAAGAATTTCTTTTTTGTTTAGAGACGGGAGTCTCACCAACTTAGCCAGGCTGGTCTCAAGCTCCTAGGCTCAATCCCTCCTCGGCCTGCTCAAGTGCTGGGATTCGAGACATGAGCCACTGCTCTTGGTCCCAGAATTGTATCATCTCTGAAATCTCTAAAATATAGTTAATATTTCCTTCTCAGTGTTGTTGGGAGAATTATATATAACCATATAGTAAAACATATATTATATATGTATACAATATATAGTTGCTTGTTTATAATGTTCTACCTTGAATATCTGGGCAGCAAAGAGAGGTAGACTAAGTAAGATCCTGAGAAGTTTGACTTCCAAGCTCATCCGTGTTTCAGTTAATTCAACTCCATTTTATGTCTACAAAGATGATACTTATGTCTCATCTTACTGTTTACTTTTAGTTTGATTATAGGAGGCAGTAAGCAGCTGTTGAGAACATGTATTGTGGAGTTGTAACAAATATTTCCTTAAAAGTTGTTTCCTATTCCCTTCTTTGACCCATTCAAGGGTGTCTGCCTGGAGAAGTAGATCCTGACTCAGTGGCAGCATAGGTTCTCCCCTAGGGTGGTGCTGAACTTCAGCTCAGAAGCAGCCTGGACCGCAACTTACCTCCAGATAAAGTGTTTTCCGTGCTCTGTTGCCAGTGTTAGTGCAACTTAGTTTAAAAATAGAAGACTTGTTCACAGTATGCTCTAAGTCTAGCAGTGGAGTTTTATGCAACATAAAGTAGGTGATTTTGGAGCAGAGTGAAGTCTAGAAATTTGCCTTATATTATTTGTGGTACCCTAGAGAACATGGTGTGTGTATGTGTGTATGTATGTTTGAATATGGGAACTAGTTCGTTGAATATTAGGTTGTTCTAAGACCAGAATTAGATTAAAAATGCGTAACATATTAAGTATTAAAAAGTGTTTATATTGTATATGAACTTTTTGCAATAAGTTTAACTTGGCATTTTAGGTTTTAATCGATACTTAATCTGTTAAAATAATGTACTGTATTTTAAAGTATTCTTATTGTGCTTTTTTGTACCATCTTAAATATGAAAAATATCAGTATTTAGTTCCTTTCTCAGCCACAATTCGATTTTTATTGACATTGTTTTCCCCCTTAATTCATGTAATTAGTCATAGCAACCAAGAGTCAAGAGAGTGATTACCGGCCAATTATGAAAAATGTGACCAAGCAGATTGCAGAATACAATAAAACCATCGTGGATGCTTTACATAGCACTAGCGGAAACTGAGTTTAAGTCAACTGAAAGTCTCTAAGGAAGTATCCTCTTGCTGCTAAACTTGGTACAAGTTGACTACAAAAAAAAAAAAAAAAAAAAGCTTACCTTTGGAGTTTACCTAAAATTCCTGAATGTTATAATTTTTGTGGCCTCTTTTAAAAATGATATTTTAAAATAGTCAATAGTTCAGTAAATGGTTTGCATGTTAAAAAATATCATCTTCTTTTCTTTTTATGATATTTGTATTTGAACCAAGAGATAAAGAAACTAAAAGTGACCATTGAAATTTATTTAGCTGGTATAATCCATCTATGGCAACAAATGAGATAAGCTTTTCTTGTATCAACTCTAGGACGGATGCATGGAGTATGATTCTGATTTAGCACCTATATCAAATTGTCAATTTTTACTTCTGGAAAAAAATCGTAAGATCAGAAGGGAGATTTTTAGCTTTGAACCTTACTTCTCAAATAGGTTATACTTGATGTGTATTAGACCATATAATGTCACAGATAAATACATAACACATATTCTTTATATTCCAGTTATACCTAAAGATTTGGAATTAGAAACTTTTAATCTTTGCAATTCTTAAAATATTTTTTCATATATATATTCTTGGAAGAACATTAGGTAAAAGACTACATTTACAGTGGGCTGTTTGGGACTATGGCTACTGCTGTTCATTGCCACCCTGCAGTATGAGTTTACTCTCTTATACTATTAGGAGGACTTAAGTAGATTAATTTATAAGCATTAGCCAGAATATTTGGGAAAAAAAGCTAGAAGAGGTAGGATTGGGAGAGAGGCATAGAGTCTGGAAGACATTATAGTAACTGTAGATGTATCTTCTCTTATTGTGCAGGAATGAGTCACGTTGGCCAGCATAAAATATTACTTAAAACTATCCTATTTTTGCTCTGATATCATGTTCACTAAGTAACTCTACTTTTCAGTATTTCTGAAACAACACATTGATTTCTTAAAAAAAAAAAACAAAACAGCTTTATTGAGATATTATTTACATACCTTAAAATTTACTCATATATGTTGATTTTTAAAAATAAATATTTATAATAGTAAATTATTCAAATTCAGTTTATACACATTTAAATAAAGGAGTGAGCATTGTTGAGCTCGCTTAACTCTGGATTACTAATATGGCTGAAGATCCTGGACAATCTGTTCATTAAGGTGGCATTCATAAAATGTGTTCCACAAATCCTGAGCATCTCATTATTAATAGTGTTATGCCTCCAAAGGATTCATGGGCAAAGAAGTTTGGGAAACATTGTCTGAAACAAAGGTGAATTATTTTATTTTTTTCTTGACTGCTTATAACCCTTAATATGCTAATATGTATAATAAGCTCAAGAAGAATATATACTGTAAAGCATTTCCCAGAGATAGTTGTCCACAAAACCCTTACTTTCACAGAGCCTAGGTCACATGAGATGTGTCATTCCAAGAAATAGACTTTGTATACCAAATAGACTTCATACACTAAAATAATTTCATCTACTTAAGTCCTTTGGGTGGCTCTTTGGCCTTTTTCGGATAATCCCTGAGTATGTCTCTTTTTAGCCACCCTCAGATGTTTTATGCTGTGATTCTGTGGAGTTTTCTATTGGAAATTGGTAGCAGAAAGTGCTTATTAAATTTCACAAGGGAAAAAAACTCTCTTAGCAGTTAAAGAGAGTGAAATCTTAAATTCAGTAGATGAAACAAGTAATAGAGTTTGATGACAGTTTGCCCAGGCCTTTGTTCACTCATAAAATATTACTGTAATTTGGTGATTAGGAGCCTTTATGAATATACGTGACTGCTGAAAAATGTTCATCTTTTATACAGTAACAACCAGAGGTATGATCGAGCATAGAGTTTAGGCAAGAGAACTGACTACTACGGTCTCTTAATCACATCGATTGTACTTAGTGGATACTTCCAAGTAGGAAGGGAATCTGGAATACGTGTTTGTGGATGGGTAATCTTTGTTTTCCTCATTTGAAAGCAAATTTAAATGCCTTTACTTTTTCCTTAGTTTTTTTTTTTTTTAATTTCTACTTAAGTGTTCTTGACATTTTACTGTACCCTTTTAAACTAATAACCAACTTAGCAATTTTTACTATTAGTAATAAGGGTTTTTATCTGAGTGGTGGGATTATGGGTGACTGTAATCTTCCTTGGTCTTTTTGGTATTTTCAAAATTGTCTATGATGTACATATAATACTTAGAAATGCAATAAAATTCAAATAAAGTACTCTATATAGTTACTACTTTAACTCGTGAAAAGGATGTAGTAAAAACTCTTCAGTCCTTGACGCTAAGGAGAACTGAACCAATCTTTATGCAGAAAGAAAGTAGGAGGAAAATTGGCCTGTCCATTAAATATATGTGTTTGCATTATAACAATGGGAAATTTGGGAGGAAGAAAATTTCTTGACAAAAAGCAAGGCTTCCAATTTCCATCCTAAATTATTCATATATAATTTTGGTGGGGGGGGGAATAATTGAGCAGGATTTCTTTAAATTAAAACATGTTTTATCTGAGGGAAATTCTCACTAATGTCTCTTCCTTCCTCTCAGAGCCTTTCCACAAATCCAACAAGAATATTCTCTTTACTGGGATAGAACTGGAGGCTAATAGCTGCATGAACTGGCTCTTCCTGAGTCAGTCACATTACTCAGGGGGTTCCATTCATGCTAAAATAACACCTTGTAAGTCACGTGGAAAGAAGCTGCAGACTGAACAAACAAGCTGAGCAGTTCTGCTAGTGAAGATCAACATGGGAAAGTTAGCAAGTCTTTGTTTTTCCCATCCTTATCCTTTATCAGTAAATAAACATGAGTTCTTGATATTCTTTTTCCTGTGGAGTCCCTCATTTGGACAATACTGTAGTCTCATTTTAAGGTACAAAATTCAGTGCATGCTTGGGGGATTACAGCATGGAGTCATGATATTCACACCAGAGATGAAAGGCCAGTTAGTAGTAGCTCCAGGGTTTTTGCTGTCCCCTTGCTCAGTTTCTCTAGATTTCTTTCCTTTTGCTATACAACTGCAGTGTAAACAACCTTAGGGAAATTGTAATGTTTAGACTTAAAGTAAGAAGAAATAAAGATGGACCACTACAGAACTGTAGTAATCTATTTTTAAATTGATATTGTGTCTCATTTTTATATACGTTTTAAAATAAAAGTAGATTATGTCTTAAAATTGCAGGTTTACTGTTTGATAATCGAAAAACATTTTTAAAAAGACAATTTTTAATACAAAGGTAGATAATTTAGGAAGACAGATAAATAAAATGAAGAAAATAAGTTACCTGTGATCTCACCAGTCTTTTTAGATATGCGTCTATATTTATGTCACACATATCTGTTTTATTTGTGTATTTATGCACCTTTAAAATTATATTGTTTTTAATTTTACATTTGCTGTTTATAATTTAGCACACATTTTTCCATGTCATTATATACTCTTGTACAACATGTTAAATTGTTGCATATTATTTCATTGTGCAAAACTTTCAAAAACAAATCCTACATTATCGAATGAGATTTAGGATATAGAGGTTACATGTAAGTTTTAGATCAGATAGCTGGAAATGTGAATCCCAGCTTCACCACTAATTTGTTATAAGACCTTGGAAAGTTAGTCTCAGAATTCCAGTTTTTTTGTCTACAAATGGAATAATAATGCTTAACTCATAAGATTGGTTCTAAGACTATGCAGAACCCAAGACGTCTGACACAAATCGTCCTGGGAAAGGTGTCATTATTAGCAGTGTGCACAAGTGATTGTTTCCCTGCATTGTCACCAACACTGGTGTTATCCAGGCTGACAGTGCACTACCTCATTTGTTTTACTTAAAAAAAACTGCCACATTACTGCAATTAGAAGCTATATTTTAATTTGCAGGATATGTTTTTGTATCAAAAATTACAAAAAAGTCTGATTCTTAAAAATCCCTTTAAAAATATTCATTATAGCTTTGTAATATACATCGAAGGCAAATTTTTAGAATATATTAGATCATAATTTGCTGCCTCAATATTTTTCCTCATAATGTATCGTAATGAATTGCTGCTCTGAAAACCTGACTGCATAACTTTAAGAGAAATAGGAATAACCTGTGTAGGAATAGTCTACTCAGTAATGAAGGCTGTATTGTTTGTTCATTGTATCCTCCTGCAAGTCAAGTGGTTGCACATAAAGAACAAGTATGTCGGCCGGGCGCAGTGGCTTACGCTTCTAATCCCAGCACTTTGGGAGGCCGAGGCAGGCGGATCATGAGGTCAGGAGATCGAGACCATCCTGGCTAACACAGTGAAACCCCATCTCTACTAAAAATACAAAAAATTAGCCAGGCCTGTAGTCCCAGCTACTCGGGAGTCTGAGGCAGGAGAATGGCGTGAACCCAGGAGGCGGAGCTTGCAATGAGCCGAGATGGCACCACTGCCCTCCAGCCTGGGTGACAGAGCAAGACTCCATCTCAAAAAAAAAAAAAGTATGTCACAGGATAGAAAAGACATACTCATTTATGTATTGGGGAGTCCAATATACAAGAGGGTTTGGAGAAAGCATGAGTCAGAAGTTGAGTTGTCTAGTACCTAAAAAAAGGCTCAGACGCACTACAGAAAGCTTTCTACAAGAGAAAAAAACTAAAATGAGGTTTTCAAAATTGTTTTATTTCAAAATATTTTGTAAAACAGTATTCTTAACCTGATAGCAGTATGGTAATACCATGTAAGAAAGGCAGACTTAATCAATTAAAATTACTTTTGGCAGAGGGTGAAAAGAGAACTATTGTTAAATTGGCCATTTAAGATTAGAAGACAATAGCTGAGCTAACTAACCAAACTGAAATATTATCTCATTCTCTTTGTTATCATTTTCAGTAGATAAGCTCACTCTAATAGAGGAAGTCCAGACTGACATGAAGGTGAAAATATTTGTTCAAGTCCATAAGCTCAATCTGATTTTTTTTTACTAAAGGAAAATATAGTTCATTGTTAAAAGCATTTCTAGGTCTTTAATTAGCTTCTTGTTAAAATGAAATCACTTTAGTTTACTGGAGGGGAGGAGAGGGCTGCCTCAGAGTTTGGCCAGCCCCAACCCTGTCCCTCCCTGCCAAGGACAAAGCCGGGACCTTGTGTCTGAGGATCAGGGGAAATGGTTAAGAAGGAGAGGAAAAGAAAATTGCTTTTCCAG